AAAAAAAAAAAAACCTGGAGAGAAACCCGTATCTCAACAGAAGCTAACACTGTACTGATAGCTTCTCTGTTTTTTGTCTAACAATATTCTACAGGCTAGAAGCAGAAGCCGAGAATTTAACTGATAGACATAATTCAAGATAGTTGGTGGTTCAGGCCTGTAATACTAACTACTCAGAGGCTGAGACCTGAGGATCATGATTTGAAGCCAGGCTAGGGAGGAAAAGTCATGAAACTCATCTCCAACTAGCTACTAAAAAAGCGAGAAGCAGAGCTGTGGCTCAAGTGGCACAGCACTAGCCTTAAGCACAAAAAACCAGGGACAAGAGCCAGACATTGGTAGCTCATGCCTATAATCCTAACTACTCAGGAGACTGAGATTTTAAGATCATAGTACAAAGCCAGCCCCGACAGGAAAATATGAGACCCTTAACTCCAGTTAACCACCCAAAATATCTGGAAGCTGTGTGTGACTCTAGGCAGTGCTAGCCTTGAATGGATAAGGCTCAAGGACAGCATTCAGATCCTGAGCTCAAGCCCCAGGATAAGCAGCAGCAGCAGCAGCAGCAGCAGCAGCAGCAGCAGCAGCAGCAACCTCGGCAACCACGACTACCACGACTACCACTACCACCACCACCACCACCACCACCACCTCACACCTGTAATCCTAGCTACTCCGGAGGCTGAGATCTGAGATTACGGGTTCAAAGCCAGCCCAGCAGGAAATACCCCATGAGATTCTTTCTTTTTCCCTTTTGTCAGTTGTGGGCTTGAACTCTTGAGCCTGAAAGCTGTCCCTCAGCTCTTAAGCTCAAGACTAGCAGCCTACCACTTGAGCCACCGTGCCACTTCCAGTTTTCTGGTGGTTTATTGGAGATAACAGGACTGGCTTTGAATAGCAATCCTCAAATCTCAGCCTCCTGAGTAGCTAGGATTACAGGCATGAGCCATGGGTGCCTGGTCCCAAGAGACTTTATATCTCTAATTAATCACCAGAAAACTGGAAGTGGCACTGTGGCTCAAGTGGTAGAGCACTTGGCTTGAGATGAAGAGCTCAAGGACAGCGTGCAGGCTCAGAGTTGAAGTCACAGAACGGAGCAAAAAAAAAAGAATTACAGTATTAGTAGTATTTTCAAAGTACACATTAAAAGTTGCTAGCCAGGGGCTGGGAATGTGGCTTCATGGTAGATGCTTGCCTCGCATGCAAGAAGCCCTGGGTTTGATTCCTCAGTACCACATACACAGAAAAAGCGCTGTAGTTCAAGTGGTAGAGTGCTAGGCCTTGAGCAAAAGAAGCTCAGGAACAGTATCTAGCCCCTGAGTTCTAGCCCCAGAACTGGCAAAAAAGGAGAAAAGAAAGAAGGTACTAATTCAACAAAGACCTACTAAGTAGAGCATAAAAAAGGATGGTATGCCACTTTAGAATGAGTAATTGGAGCAAAGTAGCTGAGTCTGGGTTATCATTATGTACCATAAGGTAGGTGGGCTGAAGTATAAGGAACATGGAAAGCAGCAGAATGAGAAGCATATATAGCACACTTTGAAATGGACTGTGTATTCACTGCACATGCGGTGTCACATCTACAGACGACTACATGTATAGATATCAACAACTACAAACGAAGACTACAAAGAGGGCGATAAAACCACTGTGCACTTGCACAGCCTTTTACAAACTACCTTCCCATACATTCTCATATTTACCAATCACTGGGTCAATACCATTGGTATGTACACTAAGCTAAGGACAAAGTGATAGGAAAGAACAAAACCATTAAGAAAGCTTTGAGTCTCAACTTCTCACATACACAGTGGACACTTCAGCATCTCAGACAGCTGGGCTGACATTCTCAAGCCAGGAGGAATTATGAATAGTACGAACTCGTCAAAAAGCTTGGGAGAGAAAGGCCACTAGATAGCTTCCTTTTTGCCTTCTATCACCTTGGGACCCCTCAATCTCATCACTGCAGAGGGAAGAAAAGGGTGGCTCCAGGAGTAGAAAACTTCCAAGTTGAAAGTTCCTTTTCCCTTCACATTCCCTGGAACTCAATGACCAGGTAAAGAGTGGGAAAAACATATGTAGCCATGAAGGGGTCTTCAGCAGATACCAAGTGGAGAACAAGAATGACAACAGGGCTGGGGTGGGATGGGGAGGGGGTACAGCTCAGAGCTGGGGGAGGGGAGGGGAGGAGGGCCGGCATTGGAGGGAACGGAGAGTTGCAGAAGCTGTAGGCCTGGAGAACCCTATCAAGAGATGGGAATTCCAAACGCTAGCGAAAAGCAGACGCCCAGTGAAGATCCTGAAGCAGACAGCTTCGAGAGACCCCCCGAATCTGGGTGACCGGAAGCAGAGACACCCCCCCGAAAACACATGAAACCAGAAGGGGGCGCAGGTGACACCCCGGAGGAGAATGAATGGGGAAGGCGGTCCCGGGGGCGGGGCAAAGGAGGGGCCCCGATAGGGGCGGGCCACAGACCTCTTCCCAAGTCCGAACCCCTTCCCCGAGAACCCGGGGCGAGAAGCAACCCGGCGATTCCCGCACTCACCGCCGGTCTCGTCAGTTACATAGGGAGTCGCCATCTTGAAAACACAAACCACTTCCGGCGTGAGCGGGCCGGGATCCCGCCCCCCACCCCACCGGAAGTGGAGTCCTTGTCATTAGCCAGCCACCATGTTAGTCTTAAAGGGACAGTGCCCCTTTTCCACCGCGGCAGAAGGGAAGGGCGGGTTAGAAGCGGGCGCAGTTAATAAACCAAACCCGTGGGTTTATTTCAGCTAGGGTTGAAGGGCCTCTGGGGTGGCACACGGTCCTCCGGGCGCCGGAAGTTCCAACCTAGAGTCGGAGCCCGGGCATTTTTCGGAGGTCCAGGACACGCCGAGGGAGGAAAGCCGCACGAGGCCCATCTGCGCCCCGACAGACGGACAGAACGGGGGGTTGCGGCCCTGGCCGGCGCTGACGCGGGGCAGGCAGACTCCAGCCCGCCCGGGCGCGCACCAGTGTGTGCGGAGGACGAGGGCCAGGCCTCCCCCCCACCCTCCGCCGGCGAAGCCGTAAAAAGGGGCTGGAGGCCGGGCTCGCGAGCCGGCCGTCCGCGGCCGCCCAGCATCACCCTCTCTGGACCGAGACCTACGGAAGAGTGTGCAAATCGCAGGGCGCTGCGGATCGGTCACCTGTCCCCGCAGCTTCAGAGTGGCCGCTGACTTCCATAGCCGAGCTGGGCGCTCAGGCCCTGGTCAGACCCGGCCCCAAGCGCGGGCCCCGGGAATTCGGTGACGAAGTGACTTCTGGCCCCAGCCTGACAGGGGTCAGAGGGCACAGAGAAGGCATCTGGGCGGATCCACTTAGTATTCTAATTAACCTAGAAGCTAGGGATGAAGGGCGGGGCAACTAGCCAATAACCGGGCCCGGGCGGTCACTCCCCAGGCCTGCCCGGCCCCGTGCGTCATTGTTCTCCAGCGGAACCCAAAGTCCGGTCCCCGCCCCCCCTCCCACCTCCTCGCCCGGTCCCTCTGTAACTGGGGTTCCCCCGAGGGCTAAATCCTGTTAAACTTGTTTTCCCTGCAGCCTGGGAGGGGCCTGGCCGCCTTCTAGTTCTTAGGCTCGGGTGTCTGCCTTCCACCCCCCTCCTGGCTTTTGTCTTAACCCCTTTACTTTCACTCCTCGTTCCACTTCGGCTTAGGCTGGGTTCTTACAGTTTCTCTGCAATCAGGGAGGTGGGAAGAAGTAAACTTTGACAACTACTTTAGCTTTTAGGCTGTACGTCTCAATTGAACTAAAGGACAAAACCAGAGCAACGACCGATTAAGATCAAACACATTAAACCTTAGAAGTTTCCTGGGGCCCACACCTTGCCTTCCTTCCTATTCTCCCAGCTCCATGATTTCCATCGGAAACCCAACTCATCAGGTCTCAAAACTCACTTAAAAAACTATTTGCATACAGCCAGAGCTTTGTTTTTGTTTTCGTTTGGCCAGTTCTGGGGCTTTATTTAACTCAGGGCCTGGGCACTGTCTCTGAGCCTCTGGGTGCACAAGGCTGGTGCTCAACCCTTGAGCTACATACAGCACCACTTCCGGCTCTGAGTTGGAGATAAAGGTTCTCAGACTTTCTTGCCGGGCCTGGCTTCTAACCGCGATCCTCAGATCTCAGCCTCCAGAATAGTTAAAAGATTAAAGGCATCAGCCACTGGAGCTGGGGTGCAGCAGACGTTGGAGGTTTAGAAAGAAAAGAATAAAAGCAAAACCTATTTTCATCTAATCTGTCACACCTACTCTTTGACCTCTTCACTCCTGCCTCTTCCAGTATTCTGTCCTTAGAGTTGTAATTGGTAACAGATGAGAATGCCAGGAAAACCTAGTGACATACTTTGGTCTTGACTGAAGTGCCTGAGTAGTTTCTGCATCTTCCAAAGGTCCAAAGGACCTGTCTCTGCAAGGGGGACATAGAGGTAAGATCCAAAAGAATCCCCTGTTTACTTACTTTACCTAACTCGAGGCCCCCCTCCACCCCCAGATATCCTGCCAGCTCTGGGGTTGGCAGGAAGTGAAACTCTAATTGTCTGCTTAGTAAACGGTAGGACCGGATGTATACCCCACCCTGAGGAAGAAGAGAGGAAAGAAGAGGCCAGGGGAGAACAGGCTGTTGTTTTTTCCTTTCCCTTTGTTCATTGTGGTTTCTTTGTTTCTGGCTTTTATGATGTGGTTGATTAAAGAGATGAGCACCTGGAACCTTAGGCAGTAGAAGCTTCCTCCGTACATGATTCTTGCCCTTTATTCCCCCACTCTCACCAACAGCTGAAGGGGTGTGATGGAGCACATATCCCAAAGAAGACAGAAAGAAGGCTAAAGTAAGACTGATTCTCTCTTATTCCTTATTACATAAATAACCTCACTCTACTTTGGCTTTTTGCTGGTCCTGGGGCTTGAACTCAGGGCCTGGGCACTGTGTTCTGAGCCTCTTTGTGCTCAAGGCTAATAATGCTCTACCACTTGAGCTACAACACCACTTCCAGCTTTTCTGAATAGTTTATTGGAGATAAGAGTTTTCATGGACTTTCCTGCCCAGGCTGGCTTTGAACCACCAGATCTCAACCTCGCGGGTAGCTAACATTACAAGTAAGTGCTTGTGATATCATTCTTACTTTGAAGTTCAAAAATGTCTTAAAATGTCTTAAATAACTTTAGGGCTGGGAAGTTGGCTCAGTGGTAGAGTGCTTGCCTTGCATGCATAAGGCCCTGGGTTCAATTCCTCAGCACCACATAAGCAGAAAAAAGCCAGAAGTAGCGCTGTGGCTCAAGTGGTAGGGCGCTTGCCTTGAGCTGAAGAGCTGTGGGACAGTGCCCAGGTCCAGAGTTCAGCCCCCATGACTGACAAAAAAGAAAAGAAATTAACTTTAGGGGTGGCAGTGTACTTTAAACACAGCGCTTGCCTAGCAGGTGTGAGGTCCCAGGTTCAAACTTTAGCAACACAAACAGAAGGAGAGTCTCTGTCTGTAAGGTTTAACGGAAAGCATAGTTATGGAACTATTCTTAGTGAAATTGTGTGTTTGTTTAGAATGGCTCAAAACAGAGAGGTTTATATACTTCAAGCCCCTTCTATACAAGCCATAACTCATGTTTTTTGCCTGTCCTGCAGACATAGGCCTTCAAAAGAGTTTGTTGAAACCTGGGTTGGTGGCACTTGTCTATAATCCCAGTTCTAGGGATTCTGAGGCAGGAGGATCTCTTATTTGAGGCCAATCTGGCCTATGTGAAACCCTGTCTCAAAAAAAAAAAAAGTGTTGACTAAGGAGTCATCATACAGGAAGAGGAGACAAAGCTTTGCTAACCAATTAAGAAAGTACTGTTACAAATGAAGGATGGGGGCTGGGGAGATAGTGGTAGAGGACTTGCTTAGCATGGTTGAGGCCCTGGCTTTATCTCAGCACTACCAAAAAAAGAAGAGGAAAAGAAGCATGAGGAGGAAGAGGAGAGCTAGTGCTGAGACTGAAGATGAGCCAGACATGGTGGTAGGTCAAGCCTGTAATCCTAGCTATTCAGGAGCCTGAGATCTGAGGATCATGGTTCAAAGCCAGCCCAGGCAATAAAGTTAATGAGACTTATCTCCAATAAACCACCAGAAAACAGGAAGTTGCACTGTGGCTCAAGTGGTAGAGTACTCTCCTTGAGCTGAAGAGCACAGGGATAACACCCAAACCCAGAGTTCAAGCCCCACAACTGACAAAAAAAAAAAAAAAGACAAAAGACTGTGTATGAGATCTGGAAAGGACATAGAAACGGAGAGACAGACCTTCTTCCAACCCCTGCCAGGGATTTCCAATAATAATAACTTCACATGAATTACTTAGCAATGCTATTTATGGTAAAAGTGGGGACGTCTTCTCAACAAGCATATCGTGTGTGTGTGTGTGTGTGTGTGTGTGTGCGTGCGCGCACACGCGCGCCTGTCCTGGAGCTTGAACTCAAGGACCTGGATGCTATCCCTGAGCTGCGTTTTGTTCAAGGCTAGCTAGCACTTTACCGCTTGAGCCACAGCTCCACTTCAGGCTTACTTTTGGTAGTTTGTTGGAGATAGGAGTCTTAGGCACTTTCCTGCCCTGGCTGGCTTTGAACCATGATCCTCAGATCTCAGCCTCCTGAGTAGCTAGGATTACAGGCATGAGTGTCCCAACACCACCTAATCTTGAAGTAATGGCAAACTGCTTAGGACCTTCTCTTTCCACTAGAGGGCCTATGTATTCATTCATTTTCCTCTCTGACACCCACCAACATACATGTATATTTGTACATACATATGCACCACACACACACACACTTCCAGGCAGAGCATTCTCTCTCCTTTTCCACCCCTAGATGTAATAGGGGCAATTCCAGGAGCCCAAGACCTTCTTACCTCGCCCTACTTTAATGAAGGGTAGGAGGGAGCTAGTGGTTAGGGCGGGGCCAAGGAGCAGGATATCTGGGTCCCAGTTCCTACCAGTGAGTCCCTAGGCCTGTGTCTCTCTCCCTTGCTCTACCCAGCCTCACATCAGTGCTATCACAAGAACGTTGACAGCTCTCCCCAGCAGACTCTAGTCAGAAGTTGGGTCTGCTTTCAGCCCCTACTTTTTGGCCAGGGCCTTCTGCCCCAACTGCCCAGGTCAGGAGATAAAATGGGAGGGTTGGGGCATGGAGGACGAGTATTCTTGGAGATGGGTCTTGAGGGAAGGAGGTGTCCTTCCAGTGGGACACTAAGCCTGAAAGGGAAGAGGGGAACCTGGGGGAGAAATGGGGACAGGTTGTCTCAGGCGGTGAGGAGCCTTGTGAGCCTGCGGATGTGAAGTTTGGTTCTCTGGGTTGGGTCCTAGTGGACTCTTCTGTTGATGTAAAGGAGGTGGCCAGGGAAGTCTATCTAGGATAACAAGTAGGAGAGGGGAGCCTGGTGAATGGCAGCTTGGTACCCAGTTGTTCTCAGCAGCAGCATTCCTCCATCCCCTTCATCTTGGCCTCTCAGGTTAGGGATGAGGAGGGAAGTTGTGGGTAGTTAGATTGAGAAATAGAGGCAGAGTTGCCCCGAGGCGCGGGAAAAAGAAGAAGAAGAAGAAAAAAGGAGCTCAGGAAGTGGAAAGTGGCACCGACCCTTAGCCCTGGAGACGGTCGGGAGCAGGTTCCCGTTGGAAACGTGGAACCAACCCCAAGCCTGTCCAGTGCTGAAGTTCCTGGAGTTGGGGGTTCCGGAGCAGCGGGTTTTTGGCAGGCTGGGGCGGGGATGGGGGGGGCGGGCAGCTGTGTCGTCAGTAGCGGGGCGGCCCTGTCTCCTGGCCCGGCCCCTGCAGCCCAACCCCGGCTCCAGCTCCAGCGCCGGCGCTTCTGCTCGGACCGCGCGCCCTCCGAGGGCCAGGTAGAGACCCCGCTAGCCCCCCCGCCCCGCCACTTGCATGATCCCGGGGCAGGAGGGTGGGAACCACGAATGGGGACACCCCACGAATTGGGTTAGGACTGCGGGATCGAGAGGGAGGACGCGTGACAGCTGGAGAGCGTGGCTAGAAAGGTTTGCACTGGGACGCAGCGGTGGGCTGCCCCCGGGCTGGGCCAGAACCCCAGGGGAAGTGTTTCCCCAGATCTAACCCCTCCAGCCCTCCTGCGCACCCTGAGGGATGGTGAAACTCTGCTTCTGGGGACCTAGACTGATAGGAAAGTCCCTTTTGGAACCCTCACAGCGCCGCGAGGGTGGAGAAGGCGTCCGGTTTGGCCTCCAGGTTCCCAACTACCCATCTCCATCCTGTCTACACCTGTCACCACCGGGAAGTTTCTGAAAATAGCTGAAACAGAATCCTACTTTTCACCTTTAGATAGGAGAAATGAGCCTTATGGAGGAAGAAATGCAATATTATTGGATATCTTTTCAGCCTCAGAATATTGACACATCCCCCAAGCATACCAACATGGTAACTTCTCCTGTCCGGCGTAGTAACACCCTTCACATACAACATGGGTACCATCCCTTTAACCAGACAGCAACATCATCTATGATGTTTGTGGAGCTTAATAAATGTTGAGGTTTTGAGCTAAATAATCCCCTCTTGGAGATCACTGGCTAGTAGCAGAGATAGGCAGGAAAGAATGGACCCCCATTTATAAAAAGGAAAACACAACCTTCCTGATACGGCTGAGGAACTGAAATCCAGGTAAGCAGCCTACGCCCTCAAATGAGGAGTTGCTTGACCCTTAGACAGCTTGAATGTCCTAGGACATAGATCATTCTTGAATAAATGGTCAACTTAAATGACTTGGCTTGGGAGCAATGAATGCATTAGCACTGACTTTGGAAATATTCTTTACCCCTTGGTTAAGAGCAGCTTTATCATTTGATGTTTAAAAGGAGATCTTGAGAATGAGAAGCACCAAGACTTACTGCAACGAACTAAGGACAAAGTGTCTTGAGTTTGGCTCTGATCCTGAGACTCATTTCTCGGGGCTCAGTTCCCTCCTTTGGAAAATGATGAGAGTCAGCCCCAGATCTGAGGGTGTTCTAGGATTCTTTCCCCTCAAGTCAACTTCTTCCTTTCTCTTTCCAAATTGGTAGAGGTGAGGAGGGAAACTAGAGGAGAGAAGGGTGAGTCACAAATAACTGGCGGGCAGCAGCAGACCCCACCCTTCCAGCCCTAATTTTGCCTGGACTAGCCCAAGTTATAGCTTCAGGGTTGGGATGGAGCTGGAGGACAATATTGGACTTATGCCAGGTGTTTTCTTTTTTCTTTTTTTTTTCTCGTATGGTGGTTTGAAATCAGAGCCTCTTGCTTTCAGGCGCGCTACTACTTGACCCACACCCCTGGCCCTTGTTCCAGGTTTTTTAAGGCCCCAGTTTGCAGCTTTTCAACTCTAGGAGCAGTTAACCTCTGGTGAGAAGTCAGGACGAACAACTTAATAAATCCCAGGAGTACTCAAATCTCAGGCCCCAGCCCAGTGGTGTCCTTGAACACTGACGGTCTATTTTCTAGCCAGCTCATCATCTTCCCAGAGGCAAAGTTCAGGATTCTAATGGTACTACATGCCTGTACTTGACGTATATAAAAAGGGCAGGAAGTTTAAAACTGGGCTTCACTACTGATAGAAGTCCCTAGAATTTCTATCTTTCTGGCTCAAAGGTATCATTTTTCCTAATATCCAGGTGTACTTCTCTAGGTACTCCTTATATGATAATAATAGCTAATGTTTATTGAATTCTTAACTCTTTGCCATGGAAACACTGTATACATTGTTTATGTAACCTTTTCCTTTTTAAAAATATTCATCCCAGCCAGGTGCCGGTGGCTCATGCCTGTAGTCTTGGCTAGAGGATGAGATCTGGGGATCTACGGTTCAAAGC